ACACACAGCTTCTTTAGTCTGCTGCCATCAGGGAGGAAGTCTCCAGGTCTCCAGGCCAGGACCAGCAGACTGAAGGACAGCTTCATCCATCAGGCTGTCAGGAAGCTGAACTCCCTTGCCCCCTCTCCTCTTTTGCCCCACGCACCACTGAACTCTGACCCTCTGACGGACTCTCCCACTCCCCCCTCCCTAATACACACACTGTCACTTTAATCAGTCTAAATAAGCTCTTTGCACTACAAATCATTATATCTGCACTGTTATTTACTTCACTGGTTTGCACTATCTGCCATGTGCTGCTTTATATATATATTTTTTACATTTGACCTTATTTGTATATTTGTATTTTATATTTAATCTGTATATCTGTATTTATGTTCTACTGTTAATGTTATCTGGATGCACCAAGGGTCTGAGAGTAACGCAATTTCAATTCTCTGTGTGTATGTGCTGTACATGTGGAAGAATTGACAATAAAGCAGACTTGACACTAATACAGCACTTGCATATTATTGCTCTTTTATTGGTTTTGATTGCTTCTATTGTCCTCATTTGTTAGTCGCCTTGGATAAAAGCATTTGCTAAATAACAAAATTTTAATTTAATGTAAATGTAAATAACAAAACTAAATTGAACATTTAAAACAAGCCCCAAATCAAATAAATAAGTAACACAAATAAAATAAATATCTTCATATAAACAAACTAAGGCTTTGTCTGTGCTCTTTCCATTTAAAATTAGAGGCAACCACTGCATTTTAATCATGATCCAAACAAAGAGGCTGCATATATGCAACATGAGCAGTTTTTAATCTAAATTACATTGTATAATTTCTAAATTTGAAGCAAAAACAGAATGGTTTGACTTCAGTTTTGTGAAACTATGCATAAAAAATATCTCCATGAAACAGAAACAGCAGAGCTGAATGAGACGCAGATTCACTCTCTGCCAGCAGGTGGCGCTTAAAGAGTTTTCTTGGTTTCCGCTGTAAACAAAGCAGTGCTGCACTTATGAACTTGATGACGCGCAAATTGAGGAAACGATGGATGGTTTTCAAGCGAAAGTCAAGTAAAAGACCGCTTCTTAAACCAGAGAAGGTGAACATGCTGGTATTCTTGTGGGGGGGGAAAACATGCAAGCACTGTCACCGTTAGTTTTACTTTTCTTTTTGTTTTCATTTTTGAAAAACTTATCTTTGCTGTTTACCTTAAGCTATGGAGGCTCTCTTTTATTTATTTATTTGATTTCTCAGTGTTTGCTAAACGTTCTGTAATTTATTAGTCGTATATAATACAGCATGTGGTGTGTGCCATGCCTCATCTTATTCATTTTTGTTAATAAACGTTTTGTAAGCTAGTTTGTCATTGTATCTTACTGATTTATTGTTGTTGTGCTTTTTGATTAAGAACAACAATGAATCCATCTTTTGTTTTAGTCTTAAAAAATTAAAGGTGTGTAGATGTATGTAAGCAAAACGGTGACAACAAGATCGCGAATTCGAAAGCACTACTATAATAATACTACTGATGATAAAGAATGGGTTCAATGTTAACAACTTTCGTTTCCATATAACTATAAACTATGATAAAAGTTCATCAGCATGCATTGAATAATGCATGCTGATGAAAACATATATACCTATTATATATATTGCGACCAAATCATGTGCTCGTGCGACCAGCTGAGAAAGTTAGTTGCAAAAATTAAGAAAAAAGTAAGATGGGGACTTGGTTCGATCAACTGATTGTTAATTGGATGGAGGCAGATCTGAACACGAACTTGGTCAATTGTAACACTGTAATGATTGGAGAAGTCCAGCATACAAAGATATTTTGATTAACAATTATGAGGTCAAACTAAATTAAAAATAAAACGTATGCATGGATGAATCATTCACAGTAAGATCAATAACGCATTTAAAAAATATATGGTAAATTTTCATTTCACCCACTTTAAAATGTTTTTCTTAAAACTACGAGTGAACGATGAACTAGGAGTAAGAAAAGACCAAGCTCAATGTTGGATTGCGGACAGTAACATCAGTGGAACATAATGTGCTCCCTAATGTAGTAATGGTCAGTTATGTCAGCTTTTGGCTCCACTGAAAATCGTTGGAAACACGAGAGATTCGCAGGTACCCCAGCCAAGAATAAGCAACATTTCAGTGGAAAGGGAGTATGACAGAATCAGTAAGGAGACTATTCTCAGAAACTCCGTTAGGAAGCAAGAAAGCTCATTCTCTGTGTTGGGGAGTATTCTAGCAAGCTTTAGATTAGTCATTCAGACAAGAGTGTGTGTTTTACATTCAGCAGGGCAATAGAAGACATAATCACTACAGAAATGCTATATAAAGGAAGAGAGACAAGAGATAACTTCTTTCTAGGATTAATCAAGCCCTGCATCAAGCCCTTGAGTTCACACATATGGTTTCTCCAGAGGGGAGCGCAGCTGGGGCCCAGGTGTGTGTGTGTGTGTATGTATGTGTGTGTGAGTGGTAATGCTAATGCACAGTGATGGGGATTTCCTGATAAAACAGCTCCACTGGGACGCTGACAGAGATACGAAGAGAAAGACAAAGACTACACTGGCCAAATAATGCTGATTCCTGGCAAAAAGGTCTCTGTGGATTGTTCAACACTTTAGAATTAAATCAGCACAGTTGCTTACTATAGAATCAGCCATTTCTTCAGATTTTTCAGCATGTAGTGCTGAGCAGTTACATGTACAAATATTATTTCGCCCGACCCTCGAGAAAGTCTCTGCCAGAGCTGACGGGGCAGCAGTACTGTTATGTCTCTTTGCTACATAACTCCCACCTGAAGCCATAATTTCCCATCATTCAGGGTTTAGCTCTTGTTCTGCTGATCACACAGTGGGTCTCTTCTGAGGCCGTAAAGAACTGGGTCCTACTTTCTAGTATGTCTACCATGTGCTTTTGTTCTCTTTGACACCCACACCACCACAGCCAGTCCTGAAATAGAACTGGGCCTCAACCGGAGCCGTGTGAGCTAACTGTGAGAGTGCAGGAGATAGGAAAAGAAAGTCATTGGAGAGAACATGTGAGTGAATTGGCTCATTAGGGACAAACTGGATCCAAACGGCAAACGTCAGCAGAACACTGTCTGTGAAGGAGGAAGAGGGGTTGAGAAAACTCCAAATTGTGACTAAGTGGTCACATTTGTCCAAGCTGGTTCGACAATTTTGTCACTAGTTGTGCTGGTGCCCCATGGTTTTTTTTTTTTTTACGTGGTGCTGCCATTTTTACACAAAAATCAAATCAAATCTCAAACTGAACCACACAGCACGGACAAATCATCTTCCCATATGGACAGTGCAGATCAGGCCAACATGCTGCAAATTTGACCAGTGATGGTCCTGCTGTGCATGAATTGGGGCACAATACTTAATTTAAATGGACCCTGTATAAATTAGGTGTTTGTTAATTTTTTTACAGATGTTATTTTTGTTAATATCAGTAAATGTACGCAATAGCTTCTATCAAAATCAAATGTTTCGTTGCATATCTCACCTTCTTTCTGTCTCTCATGGAGCTTCTCCCTCTAACCATGATCTTGCAGCCAGTCTCTGCCTCCAGTTGCTTTGCTGTGAGTCCACGAGGGCCAAGAATTCTCCCAACAAAATTATACTGGAAAAACAAAAGGTAAAGTGTGAGAGATTAGAAAGCATTCAGAAACTCAGAGCATATTTGACTGAAAACAGGATGTTGTGTATACACACAATGCTGATAAAGTCACTAAGAAGTGGGTCACACTTAAATTTAAATAAATACTTCATTAATAAATGTGTCACCATTTAAATCACCTTCCTGTTGTTCCAAAACTATGGGCTTACACTTTAATTGAAACATAAAAGGAGTCCATTAGTTAAGTTTAATTGCAACTTCCATACAATGAAAGTAAATTGTGACTGAAACCATTAATCTGCATACCATCGCTTGTGAAAAGAGAAGAACGGTGACAATTCTCCCACAGAAAGCTCACTGGAGAGAATCTGTATGTGGTGGAATGACAATTGGGGGGGGGGGGAAATCAAAAAGACAATAATTCAATTAGCTGCACTGTAAAATCCTCAGAATTCTCTGCCTGATATTGTGAGCATAGTGTGTAGTTGTTTATTTCATGCAATAAACAAAAAACCTCTCTCCCACACTAATTAAATTAGCTCCACTGCAGCTTCTGACAAGCAAGCGTCAAGGCACTTTTTCAAATTAAATTTGAAAAAATAAATCAACGGCTGACGTAAATACTTCAACTGACCAGGCGGCTAATCACTCTTCCTCCTCTGGCAGCCGTTTATGAGCTACGGCTACAACGAATCAGGAAGTTGGATAGAAAGACGAGAGCTCAAAAACATGGTCAAGCTCATGTTTGCCAAACAGAATGCTAAGCAGCGCTGCAAAGCCACTTTCTTGATTTTCCTCCTTCCTGCTCTTCATTTTTTTTATGTGATTCATAATTCTTTCTTTCTGTTATCGTGCTCTGAGGCACGGAAAGGGGAAAAGCCGGCTGTATGTAAATAAGAAATGAAACAACAGGGGGAAAATTAAAGAAGGGGAGGGGTCTTATCGTGGAACCTCGACCCTGACGCTATGCTTTGTCGGAGTGCACGCTTTATTTACCTTCGTAATCCTCCCAAGCTTTACAGCGCCTCTCTGACAGCACTGCTCCAAATAAAAATAATAAAATAAAATCCACTTTTTCACTCTCTATCTCTTATCAGTTCGGTTCTGACTCAGGGTAAAGACAGAGAGAGTCAGTCTTCTTGTAAGTGCTTTATCCTGTCCTGTATGAATAGAGGCCACATACACACTGCAGCTTAATACAGTTGTCGCTCCTTCCGAGTGCTTAATCCAGTTCTGCACGCACAGAGTTTGGTTATTTATGAGAGTTAAAACCACATTCTATCACTCAAATTTCAGGTACTGACTGCCAAATAAATATACATAAATATAAATATGCAAAGTATGTTCAGAACTGAAGTAACTTTTACACATTTAAAATTGATGTATTGGATGAAATTGGATTAAAAATAAAAAAATGTAGCAATACTTTGATAACACGAGTCCTATTAAAAAACTGCAGATTTTGTTTACATAGCCTAGTTAAATTAACAACAGACTAGGGATGGAACGATTACTGGTTTCACGATAAATCACGATAATTATCATCAAAACCGTGTTTGATTATCACAATTTTGAAAACTCGCGGTAAATCCTGTCCAGCCAGCATCAGTCTGACGCAGAAGCAGCATGCAATCTTGTTGTTTTTTTTTTGCACGAGAGGAAATGGCGGAAGGCATTGACAGCGCTCGGGAGATTTTTCAGCCATCTAAGAGAACCAAATCGGTGGTCTGGTCGTATTTAGGCTTTTACAAGAGTCCTGAAGGCAATTTAATCGAGGACGGTCACGCTGTCTGCCGATCTTGCAAGAAGAAAGTAGCTGCAAAAGGGGGAAACGCATCAAATTTGCTCAGTCATCTTCGTGACCACCACCCACTGTTATATAGCGAATGCAAGGTAACTTTTACCTCAATACCAAAACTAACTGGGCAAATAATTGGACAACATATATTGATTAGAGATTTAATATTTCATTGTCACTTGTTTAATGCAAAGCTTCCGCGAAGAAAAGTTCGCAGCAAGTGGCTTTGAGCCAAGACGAACAAACTTTCAAACTATAAGGTTGACATTTAAGGGATAATGTATTGTATATTCATAGTTAACTTATTACACTGATTTTTTGTTTGTTTACCTAAAATAAAATATATAAATACAGGGATATGAAATACTGAATTGAGATTAATGTTTTGAAATCTTACCGGTTTATAAATCCATTATGAACAGTGTACAAAACAATCGTCAGGACAATATGATCACTACAGCAAAATTATAGTAGTATTAATACTAAATTCCTCTGATTTCATTTTCAATACAATCAAAAACTGAGGCGCAAGACGGCAAGCTGCATTTGAATGAAACGAGAGAGCGCGTCTGCGCCTCTGCGGTGATACAAGAGACATGGGGCGAATTCCAAACAGAAGTGAGCATCCCTATGCCCTACTCCCTTCGAAGGGCAGAGCCCTTGAAGTGTGTTCTTTGAAGGGTGCAGGGCATTACTGTCTCGTTTAAGCGTTTGGAACTCCCTTGGCGAAGGGAATGACTGACCAAATGTTCCCTTGACAACGCTGCGCGTGCGCGCAGCATTCAGTACTCCATCAGTTGTTGCAAATAAATATTTATTATTATTTTATTCAAATATTGTCTAATTGTGTCTTATTTACTATTAAACGTTTTCAAACTAAACTTGCTTACACTACCATCTTAAATCATATTTCTATCACTGACGAAAAATATATTGTCTTACAAAATTTAATTAGCCTATTCTATTTATGTTTGTATGTGAACTCGAAATCAAC